CCAGGCTGACACTTCCCAGCCTTCTGCTTTTATTTGCTCGTTCCCAGGTTCAGGCCGGTGGTGCGACGCCGTGGATCGTCGCTCACCCAGAGATGCCACCGATGGGCTTGGCGCTTGGCTTCTCTTCTTGCGGCTTCCTCTGCCATTTTCTGCGGAACGTCACCCCCGCTCAGAGCAGTGGAGCCCGCTGGAAGCGTTGCACAAGACGAGGCATTTCACACAACCCCCCAGGGAGGAGCCTGTGCTGGAGGGTGGCTGGGCTCAGCACCCCCCACCATGCCCTACAAACCACCCTTACTGACACATTCCTGTTCCCACACACCCAGGCACCATCAGGACACTCCCTGTGCCGTACATTCGGATTACCAGCAGTCTTTGCCATCCCTGGGAGCTCGGCAGGCGCTTGCTGCGCAGGCGTCGTGATTTTAGACGTGAGCCACGGGGCGCGTTTTCACCCTCCCAACCATGGCAGCCGACGGGGAACAGGACGCACCAGGTCCGTGACATCTGCCCGCCTGGTGCGGCTGCTCACAGAGCTCCAGAGGCGGCAGAGCCTTGCAGGAGTGCGTGGGCTTCAGTGGACAGAGAGGGACGAAGAGCCGGAGACGGCTCCCAAACCGCGTGTCGGGGGCTAAATGCCGCACTCACACTAGAGGAAAGTGAGCAGGGCTCCCCGCACGCCCGGCAGAGCTACGCCAGCCAAAACACCGCCTATGTACAAGAATCACTCCCCAGAATTCCAGTGTCTGAACACCCCAGCGCAGCCCCACCAGGACATGCTGGCATCACGCACCGCCTGCCCGTGGTCGGTCCCCAAGCTGGGCGCCGAGCCTTCCTCTTCCACAAGCACCGGAGCTGCTCACACTGCCTAAAACCTGCCGCGGGGAAGGGGCTGGAGCTGCCTGATGGGGCACGTGGCCACCGGGTCTCAGGGCCACCCCGCGCCCTGGCCCAGGCGCGGCAGGGGAGCTCGCGGCCGTTGGCCACGGCAGTGGCACGAAGCATGACAAACCTCTCTGCAGGCTTGGACATGGCTCCAGCCGCCTGCCCCGGCTTGGCCTCTCACTTCTCGCTTGCGCCGCAGGGAAATGATGCGAGCTGCTGCGCCTCGCCGCGACGGGGGCTCCTGCAGGGAAGGGCCCCGCCACCACCTCGCCCCGGTCTTCTCCAGCGGAGAGTCCCCAGGGGTTGCCCAAGCTTTGCACTGGTCTCCTGGAGAGAGGGAAGAAACAGCCTGTGCCTAAATCCTGACCAAGAAAGAGGGGAAACCAAAAGAATGAAAGGGCTGGGTAATGACTGCCAGGTAGCCTCATCCCTGGCTGTTTCTGACGTCTGCCCGTACCAATAATTTCACTAATAAATTTGAAAGTCCAGGTCAGCCCTTGAGCACCAGGCACAGGCTTCCCAGCAGGCTGAAGCTCCATGCCCAGGAAGAGCCGATGGAGACCCCCACGTCAAGTCCCAAAGAGAAAAACCTGATCTGTTTAATTACATGGTACAGACGGAGGCGGGGGCGAGGAGAGACTGAAGCTGTGTGACAGTAAATTCTGCTTCCGGAGATACCTGCGTAACCGCAGCCCTTGGGATGAGCGGCTCTCGCTCCCCAAAGGTTCACGGAGCTTGTGCAGACGCCAGGGGAGGACACGGCATCGGCTGGTGGGGAACCCACCGGAAACTGTGATCATCTCAGTAATGTTCTTACTGGTTTCTGCAGGGCTGGAGCAGGGCTGAGCACTGTCACCTCCCAGGGAATGGAGAACTGTCACCTCCCAGGGAACAGACTTCTCAGCCCGGTCCCTGTCCGGCCGCGGGGGAGCCGTGTGTCCCCCCGGACCGCAGTTGGGCTGCAGGAGGCTCCCCCCGGGGCTGCCCACGCTGCTGCCGTCGCTGTGGCTGGGGCCAGTGGCCACCACGGCGTCCCCTCCCAGGTACCTCACCCAGCAGGACCCGGCTCTGGGAGCTCACCCTGGTGGGATCCTGCAGCACCAGGTAATTTATTTCTTCTCTTCATTTCTGTATAAAATCTGTCATGAGGTTTAGACTGCTGCCTCCTCCTTCCCGGTGACGAGTCGGTGGCTCGCTGCTAAGCCCGGACAGGGAGATTCATGTCTTATGGACCAGGAGAGTGGGATTTGGAGATAACTCCCGGTACAGAATGCACCATGCTGGAGAGATGCTTTCGTGCTAGTCACTTGATCAGTCGTTAGGCTATAACTGACATCTAATTAAGCCTCCCCAGGGATCATCAGGTCTAGGACAGCTCTTCAGGAGGAGAAAATCCATGCGTAAGTACCGCAGTGTCATCTCATCCCGGCAGCTTATCCCAGCCCCTTGCACTGCTGTGAACGATAACAACGCTCCGCAGATAAATCCCCAGCGCCGGTCGGGAAGAGCCGCCGCCATTGCCTACGCGGGGACACGGCGTAGCGGGGGAATTTTCCGACCGCTGCTCTAAAGCACAGCGAACACCTCTTTCTCACGGACTTGCCTAGGTTGTGTCTGCGTCCCTGCCGATGCCAGATGCCACCCAACGCCTCCTGCAGCCCCAGGGGACCCGTCTGCAGGTCACAACCTCCTCGATGGATTTCCTTCTCTGAACACAGTTCTTGCCCCTCAGCGGGTGCGCACAGCAGCGTAGCCGTGTCAGCCCCGCTCGCCCCCGTAGCCTGCTGGATGCAAACCTTCGTAGTCTCGACAGCGCTGTTTGGATGCCACGACATGGCTGAAATTCTGCTTTTTCTTGGCATTTCTCTGTCACGCTGAGGAGGAAAAGCAACGCAGCGGTGGTGAGAGCCAAAGGCTTTGGACGTGTCAGGATGCACCTGGAACCAGCGCCCCATAACTCACCTGGTCAACGCACAAAGCACAATGGCAGCAGCTGTTTCAACAAGCGCTGAACACCTCATCCCCTTGCCAAGGGACTCCGACCAAAACCGGCAACTCAACCCTCTCTGGAAGACCGGTCATGCCCCAAGGTTGAGATCACAAACACCCGGGGGGGCAAAGCCAGGACATGGCGCACGCAGGAGAGCTGGGCCGGCCCATGGTGGCTGTGCTGCCATGGCATCTGCAGGTTGTCCACGCTCTGCTCTCCGGGCCGAGAGAAGCCAGGAGAACACGATGGACCCCGGGCAGAGGAAGGAGGGGGACTGACTGCCTCCCATCAACGCTCTCACTGCTCATAGAGACATTAGCAAGAGGGTGGCCACCACCCACCATTTTGTCTACTGGTGGTAATAAATCTTGCCCATGGCTTTTGGTTGGGAATGGGTTAGGGAGGAAGGAATTACTGCAGGTGGGCCATTCTGGAAGTTGGAGAAGGTATCTTAAAAAAAAAATAGATCCTCTGTCTGATCTAAAACTGACTGACCCCCCCCAGAAACGCTCCTGTTGCCTTCCCCAGTCTTACCCAGGCCTGCCGGGAGCAGAGGGCATCCCCGACAAATCGCCCGGGCCTCCTTCGGCATGACACACGCAGGTCTCGCCCCTTCTGGTCTGAGTTGCCCAGCTGGGAGGGTGGCACAAACCACAGCAGCTCCTCGCTGGTGTGGACGTGGTGGCGGCTGCCCCGGCAGCGTTTGGAGGAAGGCATGGCTGCAGAGCCAAGAAACCGCCGCTCGCTTTCCCGCGGCGTTTGATTTCTTGGCGCCCTCCCCTTGTGCTCCGCTGCAGCACCACGACGGAGGCGAGCTGCCCCGGCACCCGCTGTTCGGTATTTCACCTCGCCAGGTCAACGGCCCATGGGAGCAAATACATGGGGGAACAATACGGTGGCGTCTAAAACAAAGCGTCCCCCCAACGCCCCCGTTCCCAGCCCTCTCTGCCAGGCTCTGCCTCACCAGCCTCGGCCCCGAGGGTATATAAGGCCAGGGCGATTCCTTGGTGTGGCCACGGCAAGACACGGACCGACTGGGAGGAATGGGAGGACCGGCCGGGAAAGGTAAAGACGCGTTTGCAAACCCGTGCAAGGGGCGCTCTCACCGCAGACCCGCTCTCTGCGCAGACCCACACACGCACGCTGTTTGCTGCGGGTTAAAACGTTCCGAATTACGTGTTTTCTTAGTATCGTAAGAGCATAATGAACACTATAAACAACTCCCGAACGCTTCTCAGGGAGGTAGAGCGCGCTCTCGCCCTCTGATCCGATTCCAGCCCCCTCCGTGACGCCCACTGGCTCCTCAGTTCATTTTGCTCCCGTGCGTTTGCTCCTTTCACACCGGTCGCAGCCCCCGTGCGCTCTTCAGCAG